TGTGAAGGTTGTGAGTTGTTAAGACGAGAGAATGGGATGAAGTTAAACCATCGTTACTGTCATCGTTACAAACTGAGCTGTAATCGGTCAATCAGATATCTGTACTATGATCGTTTTATGTATGTAACCACGTGATGCGATATATCAAAAAACAAAATTTCTTCACGAAAACCGTTTTTATTTTGCCTTGTCTATGATAATATTCTACGAATAATTGGCATACTGGTTTTTTGTACTAGTGGGAGTTAATTGACGGTGATTGTGCAACAGTGAGCGAGTGCATGAATGAGAGCTACCGAACGGTGGTAAGATCACTAGATTTTAAGGTTGATGGTCATGGTGAGACCAGTCAGTGTCCTGGGAATTGGGAAGTGTGTGACCGACACACGAGCCGTGCAATTATACCTCGCCCCCACTCCACCCTGCCCCCTTACCTGCGCTTAGACGAGAAGTAGAGAAATATTTACTGCATGGTTGTCATCCAGATATCGCTGGGACGCTTGAGCAGTTCATGGGAATGGTAGCACCGATGAAGTCAACGAGACAGCTTGAAATGATGGTCAGATATTTTGAAAAGATATTGAGACAGTTTGAATTTCAAAAGGTATATAGATTTTGAGCTGATGGCCATCGTGAAATCAGTGTTCTTAAAAACTACCTCTGAGCAAATGAGGTGTGTGTGTGTGCGCATGCGCATGTATAGTTGGAGAGCAATCAGCTCGGCTGTTGACGAACTTAATAAGTTGAATTCTTCTCTTGACCGTACAGATTGGATGGAAAACCCTTAGCACATTTACTGTGTGATTAGACTTAGTCAAATGGTTCGGACTTACCGTCGCTCCGGTATTTCTCGATTCTATAGATTCAACAACCAACCGGGGTGATACTCGTGTACACGATGAGAAAGACATTGCACAGTTGGGACCACATAAATTGCTCTACAGAAGCAGATAAACTGAACCAAACAAAACGACCTCGCGTCCGGGGCTAATCTGTTATTGATCTACATAAGCAGGAAAGGTTTGTACGTAGATATATCATGTGGGTTCAGTCGCAAAGTACGACAGTCTACTGGTTGATCGAATTCGTCTACTTGATATTTTTGCACCCTGATTCTCCCATAATTGGACGACAATTAAGACAGGTTTCTTCTTGTCTGTTGTATTGCATAATGCCTAAAGTGGATAGATCATTAGGCTTTCATGAATGAACTATTCATGGGTTCAGATTTCTAGAAGAAGAAAAAACTGTTTGGAGTATCAAGCTTGCATTAGCACCAGGCACCCCACTGTTCGCGATTCGAATACTGACAGGACCACCCAAAAAGTACGCACTGTTGGCGAGTTTCAAACAGGGCGAAATAGCTGTCCAGTACTCTTTGTCGGTTGAAACAAACATTTTGCTTCTCATTTGAAGAAGAAGAAAAAATCAATTTTCATCGTTTCTAGTTCAAATTAAATAGGTCCTTCGGAACACTGTTTCCTAACTCTATTGGGGAGAAAATTTCGGTACTCTCACATTCATGATTTCTCACGACCACTGGATCCACAACTTGAGGTGTCAAGACGAGAACGTTTGTGGAAAGGCAGGCAAGGTAATTCATAAATAAAAAAAGAACTCATGTGATAGCGATTTTGGCAGTATATATTCTATGCGATACCGGTAAGTTTTCAAGACACTCGTGCTTCGGGAATATTTTTTTCCGCACACAGACTATCGATAAATGTGAAAAAAACACGCTAACGGTAAGGATTGATGACATGATTAAAGGCACAAAAATTGTCTCAGGCAATCTAATCACCATTGGAATTGGGGATTTATCAAGGTTGGATGATCAAATAATTTTTGGATGCCGGATGTTGTCATGTTTGGGCAAACACCGTTTTAGACACCGTATAGTTCTCCAAAGAGTCTACTTAAGCATATAACTGTAAGGAAGAGGGAGAGTTGTAGAAATATGATACTGAAGGTCTTGAGCAACCTTGAGTCAGTGGTTTCGTGAGAAACAGAGCCCGTTGAGGATGGTGGTTGCCGATCAAGGTCACAAGCGTTTGTGGCTTGAAGCATGGGTCGGTCAAGTTTGTCAAATAGTTTAGTATTGCACACTATCACAAAGAGGTATAGACTGTTGTTTACATGTTTATAGCGTTGGAGAATTTACCACTTGATCAATGAATTAGGATAGCACAGATTGTGTTCACCGGGTAAACGATACATTTAAAACTGACTCGACGCCGATGTCCAGAAACTCATTCCGAGGAACGGGCAGACAGTAACCGCAGTACAGGTGGTTTCAAATAGCCAGTGACAACAGTCCCCGATAGTCACAGGCTTCAAGGTTTTCTGAATTGATAGCCTCGTACAGTGCAAGATTGTTGATACCTGTGGTGATAACCCACTTCCCGTCGTATCGAGGATGATGCTAGCTAGCTTACATCTGACCTACCGTGCGGTATAGGTCAAAGTGTGCGCTAGCGTGAGACGTGACACACTGCATGAATTATCATCCCCCCGGAGGGTTTTGTCTGTGGCCTGAATAAGAAGAATAGATACAATCAAGATCAAAGGAATGATGACGGTGTACGGGGTTGCGTTATCTACACAGAGAGATGCCAAAAGCGGCACCATTCACCATTCACAGTGCACTGAAATTAATAAAATTTTCGCAAAAGCTGAGTTCCTTTGCGATCATCGGACGTTCAGCACCATTGGTGGTGGACTGACTGTTCTGCGTAAGAATACCCAAGGTTATACGAACGTTTGTGATTGATGAGAAAAGTGATCTCAACTCGGGCCAAATGGTAGTCAGAGGTTGGGAAAACAAAATTATTGTGGCATAATTTTGTTCAAGCACCCTAATATAAAAATACCAGTGTTTTTAGTTCCCCTTTTATTTACTGAATATGCAAATGGACAGCCAACCTTTTAGGAAGAGTGTACACAGCCATACAAAGGTTGCTCGAGAAGACGGGCAGCGGTGGAGTGGTTCGAACCGGGGATTTGCAGATCACAATCTATACCTTTTTCATGTCAAGTTGTCCCAGTATCATATCATGTTGTCCGGGAATCATTTCGAACTGTCCCAGAATTATTTCAAGCTGTCCCAGGATTATTTCAAGCTGTCGCATTGACCTCACCGGTGCTGAGAAGCCTCCCAGCGCGTTCTGGGACAACTTAACATGAAAACGGTATAGTGATCTAACCACTTGGTCACCACCGACCAGGTCACTGTTCATGATCAAATGAAATGGAAAACGTGTATCCCCGAGATGATAAATGAGAAAAAATCATGAAAACATAAATTTCATATTGCATCAAATAGAACCCTTTTGTTCTTATCCCGGAACCATTGATTCGAAGTTCAAACATATGGATCAGTACTTATCTTTATGCAAAATTTTTCTTGAGACGCTGCTTTTCTTTCTCTCCGGATCACATAAAATCAGGCCACCGAATTTGTGCCCTATCTACCAGCCAACTGCTGCGAACATCTATTGAGCGGACTAACAGTTTTGTCTGTACATTTTGCAAGTCAAGTCCCAATATTATATCAAGATGTTCTCAGATTATTTCAAGCTGTCGCATTGACCTCACCGGTGCTGACAAGCCTCCCAGCGATGTCTGGATGACCACCATGCAGCACCGACTTCTCTACCTCCCGTTGAAGTGCGGAGGACGATTTTGGAACTGGCTTTGGTCACACACATACACACACCCCTCAATTCTCATGGCATACATATCGGTTGTTTATCTTGCTAGTACGCGTACGGCTCTGTATGTGTGATTGTGTGTTTGTCCCCCTCCGCTGATACCAATGAATCATGCGCGATCAACGCTTGAGCCATCGCTTACCGCTTTCGCACGATGCTGTAATAAAATTCATAAGCTACGCCTCAAGGGGTTGCATTGGGACACCAATAGATTGTGCTCGATCGAACATTTAGTACTGTTTGATCCTGTGCGAGGTGGATCTTATTACCCTGTGTACAAAGCAATGCTATGTGCGTCAACAATTTGCTTGAGCTCCCCCTTGGTTACGACGTTCTTCCAGTTACCATGTTCGCATCGGTTTGTCGCTTGGCGATTGGCCATGGTAGTGAGAATGTCTGAACGAAACGCTTCTGATTACATAGTGTGGGATCAAACAGTTTGATCGCAACAGGTTCAGCCGCGCATAGAAGGATAAAGCATACGGATTTAGATGAAAACGGTGGAATACGATAGACGATTCTGATTGCTGGACTTACGTCCACTTGGTAATTACTTTCTAGTAGATATTGACTCATCGCGCTTCTCGCTGTCCTCGTTTCTCTGTGTGCTAACCATCGAGGGTGGTGTTCTTTTATTCGCGTTGACAACTGTCTTGTTGTTCGGCCTATGTGGCTAGCTCCACAGGAGCAAGTAAGCAAATAAATGCACATG